TACAAAAACTGCAGGTCATATGGGTGATTTTCTAGAAAACAATTTGAGCACTTTATATGAAATATAGCAGTTTATATCATACCAGCATTTTCTATAGTGGAGTTAGTTAAAATAAGAATGCAAACTATGAAAATATCAAACATCTAAGGCAATTTAATGAGTTAAAATAAGAATGCAAAATATAAAAATATCAAACCTCTAAGGCAATTTAAAAACAGTTAAGTATGCAGCCATCTGGTTGACTAATAATGCATGGATTAATGAGGATGGATTATGTAAAACTTTATATAGCCTTTTTACTATTGATTTTTTCGAGAGCAGTTTTGTGAACTACTCCAACAGCCTTATGTAGAAAATAACGAGTCACAGACAGATTTATGAAACAAAATAAACATTGAGTCTTCCCCAGAAAGATATGCATATCCCTAACCATTTCTATACTGTTTCAAGGCATTTATGGGTGTACAGAAGTCAATTGATAGACTCTATCAACTTCTAATTAATTACCTCTCCCTCAGAGTACTACACTGGAAAACATACCTAGAATGCCATTAAACTATATTTGTAAATGAATTGGGCCTATACTCTGGAAACTCAGCAGCAGGTCATGATAGTTGATTTTCAAAATTGAGGAGCATACCCAGTAGTATCACATAGACAGCAGGATACTCAAGATGTTTATCATGTGGGCTTGGGAAAATGTACAGATGTTTAATCTATAGGTGACCCACATATTTAAAATCTTTGCACTGTGATTCCAATCAGTACACAGGTGTCAGAGCTTTTGTTCCAGATACCACATTACAATAGAAATTATTTCATCAGAAAAAAAAAAAGTGTAAAATAATTCACTCTATCTTGAAAATCGCTGTGGTTCTGTGAACTATAATATTCAGAGTAGATGAAATATCAGAGTTTGTGTCACGGTATGTTAGTTATAATATTTACCCTCAAATAAGCAAAGAGATTGTTATCATATAGAATTACTGAATACCAACAAACTCATTTTCATAGGATCTCTGCCAAAGAAAAAATTTTCACTTTATTAAGGTTTTTATTAAAATTATCTCTGTTCAAGGTGTGAGTTTGGGGAAGAAATTAAAGTGGTCATTGATCACCTGTACTGGTGAACAAAAGATCATGATAGAATAGTACCATTGTCC